TTAAACATCATCGAGCTAAGATATCGTTTTATCTGCAGCAACCCAAAAATGGCATACATAGACGAAAGCCATAAGCTCTTTCTACATATGCACATGTACATCACTACATATGTACATCTTATCACGATATTGCTGATGGAATGCACTGGAATCTGTTTTTTGTGCGATTATGCAGGCCCTATTCACCACATAAAGAAATGTGCTTTTTAATTGTGTAGCAAAAACTATTTTTTATAGCTATACTCAAACCTGTTTTTATGCAGTGAATAGGGACCACATCATTGCACAAAAACAGGTTGGAGCATATGATGAAATGATTGTCTTTCAATAAAAGGTATAATAATAACAACCCCCCCAAAAGTATATATAGGTGTTTGATTTTTATGAGGTTGCTAAAAACTTCACTCATTGGTGTCTGATGATATTGAAAATATTTGGCATCATTTGATGATTGAATTTGAGGTAATGGAAGGCATAACATCAACAAAAATATTACTGAATGGTATATAGTAGTCTATGGTAATTCAGCATCTACTCACAAAAAGTGACATGGAAATTTTAGACAAGCAAAAGACTGACACTTCAGTTTAATCCTAAATTAATTCAAAGTGTGGTTGTGACTACTGTGGAAATGGACACTAAGTTGGTAAAGTTATGGAAAATGGACAAGTGAACAGTTTTTATGTGTTACTGTGGAAATCAGCATTAGTTTTAGATTAATGAAAAGCCACATGAATACTCAGTGTTAATGTTAAAAATGAAAAAATATCAAATTGAATATCTTCAAAAATGTATGCAAATTATTTTAATTCATGGTTAATGGCAAGAAATTTCTATTTTCAAGTGATGAAAACGTTTTTTGACCTAGAAACAAAACATGATAGCATGGTAGGAAAACACAGTGAATCTTTTTGATTGTAGAAATCTGCCTGGAAGATTATGAGCTCTATTTTTTTGGAGGGATGGGGATGGAAGGAAACTACTACTTAAGGATTATATGTCACATAGTACCATGATAACAAGTGCTTATTTTTCTAACCTACTGTTTTGACTCCTACAAGCTGTAATGAGAAACTCATCAGAGAAATTGCTTTTGTGAGATAATGCTAACTCACATAAGGCTCAAATTTCCCAAACTGCATTCAGTGATGTAAATTTCAATCTCCTTCCCCATTACATTCACTGTATCTACCCTAAATAACTCTTTTTTGTTTAAAAATATGAAGCAACATTAGCATAATTCACATTGCTATATGATTTCAGTTTGAAAAATGCTATTCAGGAATAATTTGAAGCTTCTGGAGAATATATATTTTTCTACTAGAATCCCCCATTTAAAGATTGAATTGGGTTATGGCAAAGCACACCAACGCTATTTGCCTAAGGGAGGAATGCCTTCATGAAGAGAAACTGGCTGTGCAAAAACTCCCATACAGCAAGATTGCCAAGTTTAGAACCCAAGTCAAGCTATTAATGTTCAGTATTCTTACAACTCGGCATTTGGTATGGGTGGGTCACTTCAGGAATAGTTGTCCTAAATAAATTGAAAATGAGAGGGAGCTATGTACAGGGTTCATATAAAGAGACCTTAGGTTTTTGGGAATCGATTTTTGGTCCTTAAAATTCCTTAATTTCGACAAAATTTGACAGAAGGTCCTTAATTTTAATCATTTGAAATTTCATTTGTGTGCTTAAATCTGTCTGTTAAACAGAAATTAAATTGTCTCTTTTTACAATTGCCCTTTTGAATCTGAATTAATATTTTTAGCGATTCATTGGCCAAATGTAGTTTTCTTTTGAATGGGTAAATAGGTTCATGAATTATAATTTGTTCCTATTTCTAATATAAACGTTGGGATACTCAAGATTCTGAGCAAGAAGAGAAACTTTAATATTTTGAAATTATTTAATTTTTTCTAATGAAGAACTCTTAAACAACTTTTCACGTTAGGGAATGGGAATTCTTTATTAAACGTTTCCAAATTTAGCGACTTATCAATATTTTTACGATTTTAAGATCAGTTTCTATAGAAAATTTTAAATTCAGAAATCTGGGAATTTTTCGATGATACTTTTTTTTTTAGACATTATACCATTGATCAATTTCATTAAAATAATGCTAATACGTATATTGAAACTGTATTCAAGAAATAACATTAAAATGAAACATTTTTATATTTCACTATTGTATTGTAAAGTGACATTACGTTCTATTTTGGTGACTTATACAATATTTTGAATCTGAAAAATAAGCAAGATAATAAATGCATAAATTGCACTTTAGCACAATTTACAAAACAATTCTTAGCAAAAGCAAAATAGCTATTTAATGAGTTAAAAAAGCCTTTGTTTTGAATTTTCATGGTAAGAGTCTTACCCATGTAATTGTCTCAATATCCATCAGTTTTCTCTGTAAAATAAATTTTACACTTTTTTCCTCTGATTTTTTTTCAACATATTTTCTAGCTTTTTGCTGTTACATAATTGGTAGGGGTAATTTTTTTTAGGATTTTAGACATCACAAATTGGAAAGTTTAGAAAGATTTGAAGGCAAGATTTATAGCTCCACGAATCTAGAAGATTCCAGAAAAATGTCTTCATGGTATTAACATAAAATGGATGTATTTGACAGGAAGTTTATGATGAACTTTTACCTTTTGGAGAATTTTCAGAAGAACAATAAAAGCATAATATTTGAATGTTTTACTTCAGATACTAGAAGTCTGTTTCTTAACATGTTTATCTTCCCTTTGTTTTCTCTACTTTTCACTAAACACAAGCATGGAAAATATCAGAAATACTTCTAATCTTATCACATGGACATGCATTTATAGAAAGGAATTTTTTTGTTGATAAAGAAATTGAAAGCTGACAATTTAAAAGATTTATCTTATATGTCTCAATTCATCATCAGTGGTGTAGCTAGGGTGGGGCAATGGGGCACAGCCCATCCATAAGGTGCCAAATTGATATTGCAAAATTTTAGAATGAAATGTTTTTCATTCTTGGCATATAAAAGGGTGGCGCAAAATCTTCAGTTTTCTCTGGGCACTGAAAACCGTACATCATATACATACCGTACATCTGTACATCATATACAGGGCTGGTGCTAGGCATTATCTCACCTGATGCAGTCTCTGCGGATCCTAAATTATGCTCCCTAGTGCCTTCCTAAATTCTAAAATGTTGACATTTCTAGATTTTGTTGCTCAGTGTGTCACTAAATTCTAAAAATTTTGCTACACCGGTTCTGTAATCAGCCCTTACCTCATATCATTTCATATTTATTTTGAATGTTCATATAACTAAAAAAATTAATTTAATACTAGCCATGTAAATCTGTAATGACTAAGGGTATCTAACTATCTAATTTAGTTATTTGTAACTAACTGGTCACCCTTAAAAGTTATTTCTGCCTATTAAAGCGAATTATTGCCTTTCATTAATCTTTACTGTGGTTACAAGATACAGAACAAAAACATAAAAATTAATGTAAAACTTAATTCTTTGCTCTAGTGAGACTAAAAATAATACAAAACTACTTATCTCCTCTGGTGTTTTAGTGGCTTATTGGAACCTTTAAATATATTAACTGGGTTACAACCCCGAGAACACCACTGAAGTTAGGACACCATCTGCATCAGACAGACAGAGGGCAACTAATTTTCAAAAACTTGCCAACCATGCCTACATCAGGCTTTCAGGTTTGTTTCAGCATTGTCAACAACCACTCTTCTGTAATGAATCATGTTGATTATGATTTTACTTCTCATTTTAACCTAAGCTGTTTGACATAAAATCTACCTGCTATTTACTAAACCTTTAAATTGAGCAAGAACGTGATAAGAAGCTAACTGTTAATAAAATATGAATAAAACATCTAATCTTCTTTCAAATGTGTCCACTTATTATAAGAGTAAAATATTTAATGCTACCTGATAAATTTTATAAACTTGATTTTTATTCTTAAATTTGTTTTATAATTATATTTAATAATAATGCATTCTACTTGTGGATCTATTTTATTCTTAGGATGGAATCATAAAAGTGAAGTTCAGGCATAGCTAATATCTTTAATTGTATACATTCAGTTCCCATTTGTTGAGGAGGTCCTTAATTTTTTTCGTTAATGGCCACTAGAAGTCCTTAAAAGTACTTAATTTTCATATGCAGAAAGTGTATGAACCCTGTATGTAGGAAAAAGAAAGCCAAATGCATGTGAAAAGTTGAAATTTTATCTTTTGTATGTATGGGAATGTGGGCATCAATTTTTTGGCATCAACTGCTTGGGTACTTATGTATTATCCTGTTGACCGTGAAAGTTGTTTAGAAGATCGTACCAGTCATTCCTGCAGAATTCTGAGCCACACATATGTATATAATTCTAACTATGAAACATTCATCAATCTCTCTGCATAATCCATTAAGTAGCCGCTGCTGAAATATTCAACCTCATCATTTTTGCACTCTGTAAGAAGGCTTTTGCTGGTTTCAGCTATTTCATTAGGCTCTGTAATAATATAATAATGGGAGCTCTTCTTAGAACACTTCAAATACAAACATCTGTTAGGTGATTGTTGAAATCTATTAATGTTTTATCAGTTGTAATCTGCTGCTATTTTCATCTTTCAACTAATGTTAATCCCTCCATCCAGCTGTAAATGAACTGGAGTGTGGTTGCAAATATGATTTTATAGTCCTTGAAATCATTTCCCTCTCCCAAAAGTGCAAGGAAAAAATACAGCAATAACAGTTAATTTATATCCTTATTCATACAAACAAAAGGTCACTTCTAAAAAATCAGACAAGTTTACATCAGATGAAATTACATATGTTACGAGTGCATTGTAATGTTGCACTTATCCACAATTAGAGCTAAATTATATTGTTTGGTGACAGTTTCGCAGTCAGCTGGATAATATGTTAGTACTACTATTTGTTTGTATATGTTTATTAATTGTCATTAACATATGTACTTAATTATATGTCTTCTGTTTCAGATATTTTAAGATGTGGTGCATGTGAAATGATTTTTTTCAATTTGGATGATTTTGTTGCTCATAAGAGTGAAGACTGTGAAGTTTCAAAAAGTGGCAAATATAGTTCTGAAGAAAGTGATGTTGAAATAATTCGTCATTCCCCAAGTAAGATAAAATTGCAGATAATAAATGTATACTACATTTATACACTTTTATAGTTTTTTTTATTTATGGATGAATTAAAAAAAGCTTGTGTAGGTGGCTAAAAAGCACTTTGAAACAGCATAATTATTACTTGGTATTGCTATAACATTGATGTTTTTATAATATTTTAATTACGGAATAAAATCTTTAAATAAAAAATTATCTATTTCAAATTTTTTTACTCATATTTAAGTTACTTAACTTCATATAATAGGGAGACCGGAAAGTAATGTCGTTTCTACGCATGTTGACAACAACATGCTAAGGGCAGAAGTGGAAGAAAATTCATGTCAAACACTCTTAACCAATGGTACCATCCAAGAATTAAAGCAGAAGAAAAATAAGCAACAGGTGCTTGTGTCCCCATAACTGTCCAAAGAACAAAGCAACATCCATCACATGCGATTATTGCTTCAACGCACCTTCATGACGTGATGACCACGCATGCGCAGTTTAGCCGAACGGCCTGCAACGCCTCTCTCTCATGAACTTACTAGAGAAGAGTAGTTAGTAGGTAGTAGCGAAGTAACGAAGGAAATGTGTTGTGTCAGCTTAGATGCAAGAACGAAGTGATACTTGTGTGTTCATCGTTTGTACTTATTATTTTTATTTGTGTGTTAATAAAGTTTTGTGCCGTTAAAATGGCTGTTTTATGCAACGCACACATACGATACGTCTACGGTAGGAAGTAAATACATATCCAGAAGTCTACACGCCCAAGAAAAAGAAGGATATGACAGTGGTTGTCAGAACAGGAGGATATGTCATTCTGCAAAGTTCACGGATAAATGCGTAAGTGAGTCTTCAGAAAGGTTAAGAAATTTGTTCAATTTATTTTGTGGTAAAGTGGAATTCAAGGTTACAAAAATGGCTGAAGAGCTAACGAAATCTAAGAAAGAACGGAAAGTTATGCGTTCAGCCATTACTAAAGTAACAAATGCTATTGAATCATTAATTGCAGCCGGTAACCTTGAAGACCTTGAAGAATCACTGGAAAGTTTTAAAAGTAAAAGCTATTTCTTTGAAAGCGTTAGACGAAAAAATTAAAACTTTGACTGATGTTAATGACATTGAAACCGAAATCGAAAGTGCCTTGGAATACGAAGAAAAAATTGCGAAATGGAGCTTTAGAGGCACAAAATTATTGAAAGAAAAAAGAAATAGCAATAATTCGCTAGTTTCTAATGGTTCTTCTAATGATAGTAACAATTTATCTATTTCTGGTGTCGATAAAAGTTCTGATTATAATGTTAAATTGCCGAAGATTATGATTGATAAATTTTATGGGAATGCTGAAATGTGGCAGACATTTTACAATTCTTTTGACACGGCAATAAATCAAAACGAAAAACTATCTAAAGTAGATAAGTTTAATTACTTGCTTAGCCTGTTAGGCGGTGCAGCTTTAAAAACAATAGAAGGCTTTTCTTTATCTCCAGAAAACTACGACGAAGCTTTTAAAATTCTCAAAGAGAGGTATGGTCGAAAAGATCTCCTTATTAATTCTTACATGCATAAACTTTTAAATTTACGGCCTGTCCGAAGTTCTAATGACATTAATTCTTTGAGGGAATTATATGATACCTGCAACGTACAAGTAAGGTCACTAAATTCGATAGGGGTCAAGACCGAATCGTATGGAAAGTTTACTATACCCTTTGTTAATGAAATGCATACCTCAGGATATAACGCTTGATTTTGCTCGTCAAAACGCAGATGAGGAAACTTTTAATGTCGATAACCTCATGAAATTTCTAAAACGGGAAATTGAAAGTCGCGAACGAACTTCATTAAATCTATTTTATTCTAAGAGTCACGCTAATTCTCTTGGAAGGCATTCACAACCAAATGAAAAGCGAAACAACAACTTCCACACTCGGAATTCATTCAACGCCAATAAATTTGGCGCCAGCTATTCCCTAATGTAAGCAAAATTGCAGTTGTTCGAACTTTCCCTTGCTTATTTTGCGAAAGCGAAAATCATGCTTCGGAAAAATGCGTTATGTCTCCGGAAGAAAAGAAAAAGAGTTTAAGGGCTTCTAATCGGTGCTTTCTTTGTTTCGAAAGGAATTGTAGAATAAAAAATTGCCCTTCTCAATTAAAATGCTCAAAATGTAATTCTAAGTATCATAATATATTGTTGCATGAAGATAAGGAAGGGGTTGCTAAAGAAGAAATTAAGAATAATTCTAACGCCATAACTGCAAAGATTTCTTCTAAATATTTTACTGCGAATCAAGAGGTTAAAGAATTAATAGATGACTTGCCAACCGTTAAACTTATATGTGATGGTAAATTAATTAATGCAGTAGCAGATACAGGCACGCAATTGACCGTTGTCAAGACCGATATTGTACCAGAAAAATACCGTACGCCACATGGAAGTGTTATCCTCACGTCAGCTTTCGGACAAGCTTTAAAAGCTCCTCTCATTAACCTACCTTTAGTAATATATTCTGAAAATGATAAATTTATGTCACCTATTTTTATAACATGTGCAATGGTGGATAAGTTATGTAATGATTTACTCTTGTCGTTAAGTGCTTTTAATGAGTTAAGGGGAGATGATAAAAGAAAGTTTAATTTTGAATGTAAAAATGTAAACATTTGCTACTGATAGTTTCGGTGAAATGCCTTTTCATGAAACTGAAAATTTTGACGAAATACTTAACCATGATAGGGAAAACCTAATTAATGAAAAATGTAATGAAACTGTTAAGAAGATAATAGAATGTTGTGCGCTTGTATATGAAGATACAGGTAAGGATGATTCCAAAGGTAGCACGGGACACGATCAATGTGCTTCGGATTCAGAACTGTTTCGAGTGCAACAAATGAATGACCCATCTTTAAAAACATGCTGGCAAAATGTTAAGAACGGAAGTAATAACTTTATTGTTATTGACAACTTTTTGTATCATAAAGATAAAGTTCTAGGAGAAAGAGTTTACCAGTTAGTCGTACCAAAAGAAAGAAGAAAACAGATTTTGGACTTAGCTCATTCTAGCTTATGGGGAAGTCCACCTGCGAACCAAGAAGACAGCCGAACGTTTGAGATATTCGTTCTATTGGCCTGGAAATCAAGAAAAAGATGTAAATGAATACTGCAGTGCTTGTACTTCTTGTCAACTTCAAGCGAAAAAAGCGTCCCTTTGATGAAGTTCCGATTACGCCAGTAACACGTCCTAAAGAACCATTCCAGGTAATTAATGTGGATATCCTAGGACCTGTAGAGCCAAGCTGTAGAGGTTACAAATATGTTCTGTGTGCTGTTGATCAATGTACAAGGTGGCCCGAAGCGGTGCCATTGAAGAATTTGAATGCCAAAGCAACATGCGATGCATTGTTGCAAATCTTTTCACGCACAGGAATTCCTCAAATTGTTGCTTCAGATCAAGGAACTAATTTTTACTGCTTCGTTGACCCAAGAGTTTTTGAAAAGGATCGGATCGTCCCCAAGGTTCTCGACTCCTTATCATCCAAGTTCAAATGGCCTGGTAGAAAGATTTAATGCTGTTTTAAAGGGAATGATACATCATACCGTTAGAGAACATTCGAAAGATTGGGAGAAAACATCTACCGTATTTACTTTGGGCTTACCAAGAAGTTCCTAATGCTACGACTGGTGTTAGTCCGTTCCAAATGCTTTATGGAAGACGTCCTAATGGCCCGTTGTCTATTTTGAAAACGTCATGGACTAATGAAACTCCTGTTCCTCATGGACAGTTAAGTTCAGTTACCGATTATCTGAATGATTTGAAGACGAAATTGGAAAAAGCTGCTGAATACGCAGGACTTACAGATGTTGGAAAGCAACAAGCTTATGCATTCTACCGTAACCGAAAGACTCGTCATAAAGAATTCAAGGAAGGTGACAGGGTTATAGTTTTAATCCCTGATAGCCAAAACAAAGTTTATGCCAGATGGACGGGACCTGCTACGATCATCAAAAAGCATACTGATTATAGTTACATAGTACAAATGCCTGACAATTCATCGAAGCACGTTCACGCAAACAAGATACGAGAGTTCAATACCGCTGTGAATAATGTCGGTGTGATATATGATACAGATATTGATTTCGGCGAAGTTGAAAACGTTCCAAGAATTGTTCCACGGAAAGCAAAAGAACACTATTCTAATGAGGAATGTGATTTTACACACCTTGAACCGCATAAGAAGAAAGAACTTATGGAAATTTTAAGAAGGCATAAGAACCTAAGAACTGGTATTCCGAAAATCGCCAATGTGGGAGAACACAGCATCAAACTGAAACCTGGAAGTATGCCAAGAAAGCAGAAACCGTATCGAATACCTGAAGTTCTAAGAAATGAAGCTGATCGTCAAATAGATAAGCTTTTACAGCTAAAGCTAATCGTTGAATCAGAAATTGAATATGTGCATCCAGTAATTTATGCGTTAACAAAATGGAACAGTAACATTATGTGTAGACAAAAAGACCATGCTGAGTTTATTGATGACGTGACTTAAAATGACATGATTATATTTCCCAGTGAGTGAAGCATGACTGATGTTATGAACTATGAACTATAAGACATTTTGACTGTTTAGTCTGATTTTTTTTTTAGCTAAAATGCTAATTTTTTTTCTAACGTTAGGTAATGTGTTTAAAGATTTAGCTAGGGTTTGCTAAAGTATTATGTTTAATGTTAATGATTGATTTGTATTGTCTCGTTTACATGATAACTGCTTATATGATTATGATTATGTGAAGGATTTAAGTTTGAAATGTTAATTGAATGTTACATTTTTTTAAAAATGAATAGGATTACTGAATTTATGTTGAAGTAATGTTAATTTAAAATGGTAAGAATTGGTTAAGTTCGAAAATTTCGTTAATGTTATTTTATTTTGTTTCAAAAAATGTTTATATATGTGGATTTCACAGGTCATTGCAAGACGCAATCAAATCTTTTCGAGGGGAGGTGTCATGACGTGAT